GTGGACAATTCTTTGCTTTAAAATAACAACACAGTCCAAAAAATTTCAAATTGGACAATCCTACCCTATCCAAACAAAAAAATGGGTATCTTATCAATATATATGATTTTTAAATATTTATAGTATAAACTTTGAGGTCATTTTATAATATTTTGAAATATTTTATAATTCATTCTAATATTTGCGATCGATCCAATTTTTCAAAAAATTACAACCATAAAAATTTGTAGGACCGTCCCAAAAGTTAAATTTGTTTAGAATTAATCATATTTTTTTATTTATAAATAGACCCAAAAACTTATATGATAAACCACAAAAATTATAAAATTTAGTGTCGTACATCTTCTAATACCAAAGACAAATCCTTTTGAATTATACTTTTATGTTTTCATTTTTTGTTTTTGTTTTGGGCGTGATGTTGTGAGCAAATCCAAAATTAAGAGAGATGATATGAGCAAATCCAAAAATTTTGTTTTTTTTTTGGGGGCGGGGGTGGGATAAATTATTTGGAGAAATCTATAGGGTTGCAATTATGAAGAAAAAAAATATTTTCAAGAGAGTGGACAAACTCCATAAATAAAATAATTTAAAAAAAGAATTTTGAACCTTGGTGTCGGTCTCAAATGTATCTTTGGATTAGACTGATTTTGATTTAAAAAACGGGTAAAATTTTCATTTTAGCTTTGCCTCTCAAAATCACTTGATGGTGATTTATGATTATAATTGAAAATTAAATATAAGAAATGAGTCGTTTTCATGGCATTAAGCTTATATTTTATTGAGAAAGTGAAGAAAAATCCAAAGCCACACTCACACTCACACTCTCTTGGCTATTGCCATCTCTCTCTCTCATATGCAAAGTTATACAAATTTAAATAGCGATGAACTATTTCAATCATGAGTATTTTGAATTTACGGCTCTAATATGAACTCTAAACACGCACAATCATTTACAAAACTAAATACATCAAGTTAATTGAAGCTTTTTAATGCTAATTGAACTCAGAATCTTAAAGTAATTGTTGAGATCTTCTCATAATGGGTTCATTTTCAAAATATTTGCTATAAATAGTGGATATGTGGCTCCAAGGTGGGAGAGAATCAGAAAAACAAAGACACATTCTACTTTCATGGATATTCCTAGATATGATTTGTAACATATTGTCATGAAGCACTATTGGTATAACTACCACTTTATTTGTGAGTTACTAACAAAGTGCCACAACCATCCTCTTATAGTTCAACTTGGAGAAAAGTCTCCATACCATCTTTGTCATGTTTGCTTGATAGCGCATTGGAAAGTTTGAGCACCCAATCACAAAATCCTTATGATTATTTCCTTCCAGTTAAAAGCCAGTAGTCTCACAGCTCTAAAAGGTTAGGAAAAAGTGTAATGTTGGTGGGCCCATCCACGTGATTCTTTTTTTTTTCTTTTTTTGTGTGTTCTAAGGGAAATACAATTTTAATTCCATATAAACAGATAAAATATAAGTTTTAAATATGAAACAAAAATACTTCACATTTTAATCCAATGTTTAGTAAGACATTGGATGAAGAGTGTGATGATATAGTACAAATTACATATTGATCAAAAAATCATTAATCTTGTTTAATTATTAATGTTTTATTTATTTGGTGGATAAAATAATAAATTTATAATTTAATATGCTTAAACTGGACTATAATATTACTTCCCCAACTAGTATTATAATTAACGCAATAGTATGGATATAAGGCTCGTTTGGTAGACGTATTATGAGGGGATTAAATATTGGATTGTACTATTTTTTATTTAATCGGGTCTAATACTTTGTTTGATTGAAAATATTTTTGTTAATTCAATATTAATACGATGAAATAATTCTCTAACTAAACAATCGATTGAATTAAATAATTACTATCCAATACTTATATTGTGTATTACCAAATAATTGATAAAATTACGTATTATTCTAATACCTTATTTAATCTTGTCTTTTGTCATTTCTGTATTGTATTAGACTGTATTATTATATTTAGTCCATCCATCTCTAATACGGCAACCAAACGAGCCCATAGTGTATTATTTAGATACGCAATTGAAATAAAACTCTATATAATACGGAATTTTTTTGCAACCAAATATAGTATAAAATTGAAGTAGAAAATATTAATTTGTTATGATCATGTAATTCACCCTTTAATATAATACTGCAACCAAACAAAGACTTTAATATCATGTTGACAGTCCATTTGTTCTACAAACTTAAACTATTAGGGGAGAGACGTAAATAAATATTTATTTAGGAGAGAGAGAGAGATCTAATTTGTTAAGACAGATCATACAAAGATAATGTAAGAAGTTCTGTTAGAGGAAGAACATCGGCAACAACCGATAATTTGTTCATAGAAGGTGACAAACATGTTTACATCAAAACAACTAGATTAAACAGGCAATGTGATACGACGTAGCATTCCCTTCTCTCAAATCTTTGATAATAGAGGGTTGATGAGACCCACTAGCAACCCTGATGTTGATGTAATCCGTGCAATCTTCTAATTATCAAAACTAAGTATATTCCTTCACACACACAGTAAGATCTGCATGACATTGGACATTTGGATTGACATGAAAGTTTCAAGGCAAGTAGATTAATCTTTTACAACACTATTAGGGAAACTCTACCCTACCACAAAAATAAAATTGTTGGTTATTATTTTCTATGAAAAAATTATAATTTTAGAAGAAGAAGTTAGAACTGTTCAAGAGAAAGTTATGATTAATCACAAACACCCATAATTGATCATAAAATTTCTATATCAATCCCAACCTTCTGTGATCGATTAGACCTTTTAAAATTATAATTTACATCTCAAAAAAATTGTAATTTTATCTTAAAAAGTTGTAATTTTAGTATCGATACCGCTGTAATACTGTATCATTTCCCATTGTATCAATCATGCGTCATTTAAACTCGTAATCATACCACAAAATTCAAATGAATGTAAAAATCAATGAATTAAACTTGTGGAGTCGAACTTACAATCTCGATATATTTGTGTAACGCCGAGACATTCCCATTTTGCCTAAGATTATAGGTAAACCTGATAATTTGTATATACTAACTCATTCAAATATAAAATAAATTATTGGGGTTTACATTTATTTTTAATAGGCTTTGGTGGTAAATGACTGAATTCACCAGATTCATCAAATATGAGTCAATATGTACAATTAAACACGGCTTATTCATAACATGAATTCCACGAGACAACAACACAAATATGACCTAATAGACATGACTTATACTCAGTAAATTTTACGATAAGATAAATTACGCAATTTAGAAGCACAATATAACAAGCCTAGACGAGAGCTAAATATAAAATATTTTCAATGCTTTCTTTCTTTATAATATACACATTGGATGACCAAATGAAACAAATTCTTTTTAGTTCAAACCAATGTTTGTTTCCAAGAGTTGGAATATTGAAAGGCAAAACACCAATTACTAGCAGTATGGTGCCGGGAAGGTATTAAACACTGGTATATATAACATTACTGCAAGGATTATGATGATTTTTAATGCTATCCAAAACATAAATTAACCCAAAAAAATCAGATGTCATTCTCTGTTTTAAAAATGAAGTCTGACATCTTAAGCAAATCCAATGTAGATTTGATATCCTATGCGGTTTGTCATATACAATGGTGTTCTTCCAATCTTATTGGATGTCCCCAGGAGAAATAGTCTTTGTTTTTTCTTGTGCAGGTAGTAGAGATTCATTCACCTAAGAGATTAAAGAATAACTATTAGAAAATTAAAGAATAACTCACCCTTTTGCTACTTGATCTTGTTAGATCTCTTTCCCTCACTAAACAACAATTTAGCATTATGAAAAAGCTTTCATACCTAATTTGGCATCTTCTGACTAAGAAGTCCACTTTCTAGNTAGAGATTAAAGAATAAATATTAGAAAATTAAAGAATAACTCACCCTTTTGCTACTTGATCTTGTTAGATCTCTTTCCCTCACTAAACAACAATTTAGCATGATGAAAAAGCTTTCATACCTAATTTGGCATCTTCTGACTAAGAAGTCCACTTTCTAGTTTCTACCCTCATGTATAACTTAATTTATCCACAAATATTTAATGTATCTACACGATTCATACACGACATAAACTCNAAGTCCACTTTCTAGTTTCTACCCTCATGTATAACTTAATTTATCCACAAATATTTAATGTATCTGCACGATTCATACACGACATAAACTTGACATGATATGATTTGTTAGACACAAATTAATAAACGAATAGAGAATAAGTAAAGTATGTTTTTAATATAAAGATACTAAGATCCGATACGAACTCGTCTCATCTGACACGATTGACAAGCCNACACGATTCATACACGACATAAACTCGACATGATATGATTTGTTAGACACAAATTAATAAACGAATAGAGAATAAGTAAAGTATGTTTTTGATATAAAGATACTAAGATCCGATACGAACTCGTCTCATCTGACACGATTGACAAGCCTAGTCCTGACCCAATAATAACCCACCCCATATGTATTGGTTACTCCAAAGTATTTATTTGATCTGCTATCACTAATACGTGCAAATGTCAAATACACCAAGCATACATGGAGGATTATGATTAGATTGTAATAGCAAGTTCTAATAAAGACGTAGTATCGATAGAAGTTCTATAACAAAAATAAGAAAAACCATTTGATTTTTTTTTATATGAAATGATAGCAACTAATGCCTGGTCATATGTATATACAAGACAAACACTGATAAATCCCCTTTTTGTTGTTTGATCGAGTTATTTTAATCAATCAGTAACAAAAGGTTTTGTTTACACCTGACAGATTAATAGCAAATAGGGAGAAATACCATAGACGAAAAAAACACAATTTCAAGCCAAAAACCACTTATATATATAGTTGTGGCCTGGGGGCCATAGACTGAACAGTGCGATTTTATCAAACTGCACTGTTCAGTCACTGTTTGAACAATAACTCTCCGCCCCTACAATGGGCGTGCCCCCAAATTTCGGATTCTGATACTGGCCAACTTTGTCCCTGGACTTGATTGTTAATGTTGTCAAAATTGATTGATGTGTTCTTAGCATTCTGCATGCCTAACAACATGGCAAAGCTAACATCAATTCCATTCCATGCCATGCCATCTCTCTTCAGACTAATTATAAGAAAAGCTTAGAGAAAAGCCCATATCTACACTGACTTTGAGAAAACAAAGACAACTTTCTTTGAGGCTAAGAGTAACTCCAAGGAGTGGTAAACTCGTAACCGTTAAAACGCAACTTTAANCAGACTAATTATAGGAAAAGCTTAGAGAAAAGCCCAGACCTGCACTGACTTTTAGAAAACAAAGACAACTTTCTTGAGGCTAAGAGTAACTCCAAGTATAGCTTTTAGCCGCCATTAATAAATATAATTCAAATGTGTACTTTCATTTTTATTAAATTATACTTTCATTCCCTATAGCTTTTTTGAAAATGTNAGACTAATTATAAGAAAAGCTTAGAGAAAAGCCCATATCTACACTGACTTTGAGAAAACAAAGACAACTTTCTTTGAGGCTAAGAGTAACTCCAAGGAGTGGTAAACTCGTAACCGTTAAAACGCAACTTTAAATTTAAAATTTTTCACTCTAACGGAGTGATATCAAAGATTGAAAAATGGCATCAATGCTCTTGGGGAGATAATTTTGACAATTCTAGAGAGAGAAAGGGAGGAGTTGTAAATGAGTTTAATTATCTTTTTTAATAAACTATACCTGTTAAAATATATTAAAATATTTTGACAGTAATAAAAAATATTAAAATGACACCCAATTTTGGCATCTACTATTGGAGCAGATTAATAATTCAAGAATACCAAAATACTGTTCTAGATTGCAAATGAGTGATTTGATACCCCAAAATGACAACTATGATGCAGGACTATCTAAAATTGTAACTCACTCATTGGTGCCAAATGTTTTTACAGTTGTTCGTCTTTTATAAATCTAAGAATTTTATCTCTGACTATCAATTATGAATGCTCCGTACTGTCCTTGTTAATCATTTCTCTGATCCCGAAGATGAACACAATAGGACTGAAATCCTCTAATGTTATCCCATGCTAATGTATACAAAGCATATGCTTACTTTGAAGACTCTAATTTCTTCAAAGAAACTGCATCGGAAGAACGAATCATGCCCAAGATTTGATTCTCTGCTGCTCCATCCCTAACAGCTCTGCTGCTAAACCATCTGTTCCATTTTTCTGATACGAACTCTAAATCCCTTCAGGCTGACAAAGTAAAGATGATAAGAACCACCAACAATATGAAATCAGGCCTGTGTGTGAACAATGTGAGAACTTTCATCCCAAATTTTTGCCTTAGTTGGCAGGAAACCTTCTGGTCTGTTTTCCGGTCAACTTCGTACGCCAATCTCCATAGTCCAGCATCTACTGATTCTGTTGAGGAAGAACACATGCATAATCCTTATGCGTCAAATTATTGCGGTCTGTATATGCGTAGACATAGAGCACATGGACAATCCTTGTGCATCGAGTTCTGGTCTGTAACCTCATATAGGTAGGCACATGCATAATCACTATGGATAATCACATACCATAGACAGCCACCAAAGACAGAAGATACACTGTTTTTGCATTAAGAAATTGCATATCTGGCTTGTCGTTTCAAACTTCTTTTATGAATTTTTAATTTTGCCAGAACTTCTGCCCTTGGGAACCTTTATACACAAATTGTAGCAGGTCATGGACTTTAGAGAACAAAAATGCCTTTGAAAAGTCACCTGGATCATTACTTGTGATGCAAATGAACTCTCCTCAAACTTAATCTTCTCAAAAATATATTGTCTCTCAGCCTCTGCCTCACTCAACCGGAGTTTTATGTATTTGCTGGCATATTCTTCCTCTGAATTCTCTGACTTTGCAGGAGCAATCCTCTGCAACCTCTCAGCCTTTTGTCTTTCCCCAGTGGAGTTAAGCTAGAACATATCGGTCTCTGCCTGTCTAAGCCCACAGATGCTCTCCAATCATAAATCTGTTGCATTTTTTGTTGCCTCTCCAGCTTCAAGTTTGCAACTTCCCTGGCCTTGTTTTCAAGCTCACGGTCACATGTCCCAACAGCCAGACAAACTTTCTTTTACATCCTCATCTTCTCATCAGCCGTCATTTCCATCTTCCTCACTTCCTCCTGGATCACTTCAGCAATTCGGTAGCATGCCCCTTGTGGGGCTATCAGCCCCCTACCTTCCCCAGATTCTGAATTCCTTGGACAATCTATTTCAAGCTCTGAATGTAGCAAAGATATTAGAACCGGAAAAAGAAATGTTTGCCTTCACATCTAGCATCACTCCCACGTTTAGAATAAAAAGAGAAGAATAATAACTTGGAAAAATCCATGGAAACGAAAACCAAAAAGATCAATACCTCAAGAACCAATAGAATATGATACAAGGGGACCCAGACATTAATAAACTTACACAAAATAGATCCAAGCACATAAGAAGGGAGGGAATTAAAGGCAATGCCTTTAATACCAAACTCAAAGACAATGATAATTCATAATAGAGACCAATAATTCTTGCAGAGCTTATATTAACAGTATTTCCAATTGGCATGTATAAGGTAAACATTCTACAACCTCCTTTATTAAAATTCAGCACAAAAACGTAGATAGCCCAGGTACAATGCTGAGTTTAATGGTTGAACATGTAGCCCACCTGGTTGGAAAAGATTCTAGCCAACAATAGATACTAGATCTGGCAGAAGATTATGCAAAAAGACATAAAGATGTTAACTTTCAATTGTTAAAAGGCCCTAAGTAGTGACAAAGAATAATGCAAATGAAAAGAACATGACTGGACAAGTTGTCCACATGTCAAACATACATATTGGTTTAACTATGCACCTATTAACCATGTTCCCTTAAAAGTGAACATTCAAGGAACAAAGTATAGTGCTCCATCGCCATAAAATAAACCTGTACTAGTTGAGTTTCTAATTAATAAATAGCACTGTCAACCTTGCACAAGCATGGGAGAGAAATTCACAATCCAATAAATGAATTCTAAGGCTGTGTAAGATTGAGTTTGCATAAAGTATGAAATCGCATTACAAGGGAAGGGTGTTCAATAATTCATATACACACTTTTGGTCTTATTTTTAACTGATACACTCTACCACACTTCTGTAGTTGACGTTTATGGTGGCCCACTCTATCTATAAACACTGACTCGACAGTAGTCCTTTTCCTTTGGCAATATTCAATGAGATAGTATTATGCCCATATATAATACCAAGTCATCTTAAGCAAGCTATGAGTTGTCCCTTCTGTGACTCGACCACAGCGCGATCCCATACTGGACGTGGTGGCTAGCTATGATACCAATTGTTATAAACCCATTAATAAAACTTGCCTTTAAAAATTGACTTGCAAGGTAAAAGTGTTCAACAGTTCATATACACACATTTAATCTTATTTTTAACGGATGTGAGATCGAAACAATACTATAAATTGTCGATAGAAGTATTTTTTCTACAAGGGAATATTTCACTTTGTCTAAGTGATATAGTACACCAATAAACTCACAGAATTATATTCACAAAATCCTCGAAAGCTGAATACTAAAGAACTTTCTGGCTTGATAAGTACCTGGGAAAAACATCAATGCAGCTCTGCAAGCTGTTGATGCCGAGATTGCAGAAAGCCTCGATATTTCGCTGGAACACTATATTTCTGCGTCGCTTATACATGAAAGCATCAACCAGGGAAGTTTGAGATAAATTCCTGTTTATACGACAAGAATTTCCAGCTGAACTCGATGAGCTCTGATCAAAGTCTGAGCAATCAAATCAGACCTAGTCTGAACAAGCTTCTGCAAGAACAAAAATTCTTCTCTATGCAGTGAATCACCAGTTTCCCTCAAGAATTACACGAAGACCGCCCTTTATCTCTTCAAGAAGCTCATCAGGTATCAACTCCTGCAATCGCAATATCCCGAAGAAAAATCTTATCCATATTTCGTGTATAATGATGAGAATAGTGCTCTTCAAACTAAAACGAAGAATCAATAACAAAAATAAACCTAAAACAATTCGGTACTTAATTCAATAGAACATATTCGTCAAATTTCGTTTCATTTTCTAAGCAACCAAACGGATCATAGAGAAATTGCTAACCAGATGACTCGAATTTCAGTAAAACTTCTGATTCATGAATCTATTGAGACTTTAATCACGGATTGAAGAAGTGAATCCAACGAGAAATTACCGTTCTTCTCATCATTTTTTGTAACAACCCAATCCATTTAGCAACATTCGGAGCGGTAATTACCTCAATAACGAATAAACTAAATTTTTATTAAATATCAGAAATACTAAACACCTCGAAAATGAATAAATAATCTCTTGATAACTATTTAAATTACAATCAATCAAAATCTTTCATTCATTGATCAACATAATTCTCCACCAATTTTAACTCCAAATTCAACCTGCAATTGAGAGGGTAAATGGGAGTGAACCGGGAAAAGCTCAATAAATAGTTTAAAACATAATATATGAAGTTAAAGGTGAGATGATAATTTATTAACCAACCGATAATCCATCGATGACACAAGAGTTATTATAATAATTTACGGAGTACAAATATATTGAATAATTTAACGATCTCGAACGTTTCAACAAATCAAATCAATCATGATTGAACACTCGATCCATCCCAATAACAAACTAGACATCATTCGGTACATTTTAATTAAATCATGTCCATCTCTCAGGGCCACGAACACGAATCACAATCATAATTATGCCACCAAGTATACCTTACGCACGAGTCGAAAAATCTCAAGTATTTCACCAAAGCTAACATTATAGTAATTAATGACAAGTTAAATAAAATATCAGTAATTAAATAAAAATATTATTTTGAAACTCAAACACAAACGACACCACAATTTGAATACAAATAATATGATATCAACAAAATACTCTTTACAAAGAGATTAAAGGAATACATATTATGTATAAATCACTTACCTAATTCTTAACCGATTGATATATTGATAACTCAAAATACCTCGAACAATATACTAGAATTTCTTTCCAATCGGATGTCATCTTGCTGTTGGTTTTCACAAGAGCAATTGTAACTCTGTTTATTTTATTTTTTTCTTCCCCTTCCCAATTCTTAAATTCTTATCCTTGAGGCGGTAGGTCTTCTACCTTTTTATTGCTTCTCTTTATTTGTATTATGCAGGTTCTCCTGCATTGATAAGAAATAGACACACATCACATGCCATGCATTTGTATAAATTGACAAGTGTCCTACTTTACACCTCATACTTTTCTTTTATAATTACCCATTTTTTTTTTTTACTTCTTTTCTCTTCGATTTTGTTTTGCTATCTTATTTTATTCCATAACTTTTAATTCATTCACGAAGACTAACCCATATTTTTATAGTAACACTTATCCTTTACTTCATATATATATATATATATATATATATATATTTTTTTACTCGATATATTTCGGCCATTATAAAATTTATAATAATCAAATATTTCATAATTAAATTCTAACTTATAACTTGACTTCAAATGAAATTCATATAATTCCTAACAATATCACATAACTCATAAAATTTTAATTATTTAATCTAGTTCGAGTCGAGACTCGGTCATCACATTTTTGTTTTACTTTCAGAGCAGAGTCGAGCAAAACCCTAAAAAAAAACACCATTGACATTGTCCAAGAACACCCAAGTGTTATTGATCGGTCCATTTTACAGAAAAAGAAAAATAAGAAAACAATTAAGGAAATATAAATTGCTGCTGCAACACATTCACCCACAACCACAAGCCAAGTTGGGGTGTTCCAACAAAATTGTGTTGGCAAGAGAGTCCTTTGACATCAACTTTTCATCTTTCAAAGAATCAGAATGAGGTTTCCATCTGTATCATTTTCAATCTGTGCTCAAATTATGCCACTACAACCAATTACCGTCGGTACGAAATTCACTGATACTAAATCTATTATGTATGAATAATTACGAATATCTAAGAAAAAAGCCCGCTTCTCATTTCTGTGTACCGGTTTCAGCAATAGACTCAACCACCTCAGCTTCCATCGTTTCTGGAATGTAGGATGGGGTCACAGGCTGTTGAAACTCAGCAGGCGATGCTCCCCACTTGCCCGAAAGAGCCATGCCCATCATCTCGTATATCTTCCCTCCGAGCTGTGCTGGACTTTCAGGCTGCATGAATCAGAAGATTTAGGTTAATACATTAGAGAAAAACAACAATTTGCATTCCCAAGCACATGAACAATGGGCGGGCTCCGAATGATGGTGGCGGCCATGCTTAATTTGTCGCATTTCAGACCTCAATATGGACATTACTGCTTTAAACATAATGTTTCCAAAATGCCCATTCCCAAGGGACATTGCTTTATAATTCAAGCCCACTCCGAACCATCTATAACACTTGGCACATGCACTCTACATCTAATGTGAGACCTAAAACCACCCACCATCCACCTATAGGTCTAATATGTGCCAAGGATGCAATCCAATATGAGAAAAGTAACTCCACACATTGCTATGAAGACATCCCCTTGAAAACAAGGGGCATTGGAGGCCCCAATACACCCTCAGAAATATGAGGATTGTTCAATTCTCTCTCAAATCATGCAACAAGAGATCCTTTGGTTGGCCCATCTATGTTGTTAGCCACATAAAGCGTGTCAGGACATAAGGTGTTAATGTGCTGTAAACCCAGCTATCTGAAATCTAGATTTCTAGAACACAAATGTTGAGATATAGGATGAGGTACTCACAGTGAAACCGCTAGACATCAAAGCTGTGTCATACAAAAGATCAACAGCTCTCAATGCTTCTTCATCGTTTGGGCTACTCTTGCATGCGGCCTGAACCATTCACCAATTTGAGATGTAGTTAGAAGTCACTAGATATGGAAAATGGCAAAGACAATGGTGTATTCCTATTTCCTAAAATTCATCGAAGCATCATACATTTAATGTGTTAATGATTGGGTGATCAGGATTGATCTCAAAGACCCTCCTGCTTCTCATGAATTCAAGGCTAGACGTATCACCAACTGTTTGTGCCTTCATCAGTCTGCACAAAAATTCAAACTACTACTAAAAATATTACAAGATTAAAGCAACCATATCACTTGCATGGGTAATAATAAGGCACTCTACCTCTCCATGTTAGAAGACCAACCAAACCTCCCAGATACAAGAACACAAGGCGATGAGCTCAGACGACTTGAGATTTGTACACTGGCAACTTTGTCACCTAACCGTTTCTTTATCCAATCACAAGTTTGCCCAAATTCCTGCTTCATCTCCTTTTCCTTTTCCTCATTTTTATCACCTGCAAAGTTTTACATTCATGATCCACAGAAGCCAAATATAAAGAATGGTATGGAGTAAAGGGTAACAAAAAAAAAGTTCTAATGAATTAAGGTAACTATGGCCTATATCAGATGGGATCAGCTAATGATCTCAGCCAACAAAAGGCATACAACTGAAATTAGTGAACCATTAATCAGTGGACAAATAATTAATTCATCCCCTTTTCTTAAATACACAAAGATTCAGCTCTCTAACATGATTGGATAACAAACATATTTCATTACGGGACTGTAGATCCCATCATAAGCATACCAAGAGCAAGAGGAATGCATGAGCCGTGACTGCAAAAATTGTGAAGACCCTGCTCCCATTACCGGGAACCCTGTCTCCCAAGGGCACTCCTCCCATTACCGGGATATACCGCCCTCCACAGAAGGATTTCGGCTAACCTGCAGGACTCGCCCCACAGTAGCCTTTACCTCCGTCCCACATCGGGGAAAGAGTCGTCTCCCCACCCCCATATAAGCCGAAGCACCATATGAGAGCAGTACCCAAGTACCACACTGTGGTACTTGGGTACTGCTCTCATATGGTGCTTCGGCTTATATGGGGGTGGGGAGACGACTCTTTCCCCGATGTGGGACAGAGGTAAAGGCTACTGTGGGGGTTTGCCCCGCAGGTTAGCCGAAATCCTTTGGTGGAGAGCGGGATATCCCGGTAATGGGAGGAATGCTCTTGGAAGACAGGGGTCCGGTAATGGACCAGGGTCTTCACAAAAATACTGAATGATTATCATGCTCCTACCCTGGAAACAAAAGTTCCACAATGTATGAAAGCAATCATAAACTAACCTACATCCAGGTCTTCTTTGCTAATATCAACAAAATTCTTTTCCTTGTATGATTTAAGGTTCTGGATGGCAACCTCATCAATGGGATCAACCAAGTAAAGCACCTGGAGTGAGGACAATGAATAATATTAAGAAGGAATACAAAAGAAAAACATCAATCAGTTCCACATTATCTAACATAAACACATACTTCAAGATTCTTTTCCAGTAGTTTCTCTAGGAATGGAGTGTTCCTCGCACTTGTCACACTGTCAGCAGCAATGTAATAGATCTCCTTCTGGTCAGGGGTCATGTTTTCAACATACTCATCCAAACTGATCATCTCTTCCTCACTCTGAGAAGAGAAAAATCGAAGCAATGGAGCAAGACGTTTGTGATTTTCACGATCTTCAATGCATCCCAATTTTACGTACTTGCCGAAGTTCTCCCAGAATTTCTCATAATCCTACGACATAAAACAAGTGAGTTAATAATAGAGGATTGAAAATTTGGTAATACATATTATTACATATGTGATGTGAGTAAAAGTGGTATACATCTCTGTTCTCACTCATAGAGATGCCCAAAATCATGTCAAATGCCTTCCGCACCAAACGCTTTCTCATAATTCGTACCTTCAAGTACCAGAAAATCAGAAGTCAACAGCAAAATATCAATGTGATCAGAAAGAACAGTACCTCCACAACCACAAGAGCAAATACCAGACACACTTACAATACGACTTTCCTGGAGAATTTCACGCGAGACGTTCAGGGGAAGATCATTCGAGTCCACAACACCTTTGACAAAGCTTAAATATCGTGGGAACTATTCCACCCAAAAAAAAAAAAAATTTGCTCTCAATTAGCTCACATTTGAAATCAATTCACTTCTCCCTGTAAAAATTTTGCCACTGCCCTTACCAGTTCACCATCAAAGTCATCTGAAATAAACACCCGTTTCACATAAAGCCTTATGTTCTTTGTCTTGGGATTGACAATGTCATCCTTATTTGTGGGAGCAATGGACGGCACATAGAGTATAGACCTAAACTCCACTTCACCCTACAAAACCAAATATAAAAGGAGAACAAGATAAGGTTAATTAGGTCGCTAGGCACTAAAAGAATGTCTAGATACAATAGAACATTACATCTATTCAACCATATATCGCCGAAAGAAGAAGCCAAGGAACTAAAGCAATATTGTTATTGGCTTCACTATAAAGATATATCTAATTTAAAAATAGACATCAGCATGTACCATTTTTAGTTCTAGGGTGAAGTCTGGTAATCAAACTTTATTGTATAGTACTGTGGTATTAATTATTACCTCCGTAGTAAAATGCGAAGATGCCAAAGGCTCCAAGTATTCATTGAAGGTCTTCTTGTAAAACTCATTATATTCCTCTGTTGCAACTTCTTTAGGGTTCCGAAGCTGCATAGCACAGAAAGCTTAGGACATAAATCATTCTTGAGGACACTAGCATTTTACAAGCACAGTAAGCAGCAACAAATAGCATTTCAAAAAGCTCACCCAGATTGGCTGAGTCTCATTAGTGAGCTCCCAGTCCCAGTACCTCTCAACAACGGTCTTAGTTTTCTTCTTCTTCTGTTGTAATACAAATGTAAAAAAATCACCATAAGCTATTAAATAGAAGTCCATATTAAGGAATAATTTTATGCGAAAGAATGGCGAATTCAGTGAAACCAGTGGATGACCACCTCAGCTTTATCATCCTGTTCATCCTTCTTCGCGTCAACTGGATCCTCATCAACTTCTACCTATAATAAAGTGGGGTGCAAGGAGAGCACAAGGTGAAAATGCCAGATGAAATACACAAGCAGTACAGCAACAGGAATTTGTGACATCTAAAAAGATTAAAAAGAAATATACTAGAAACTGAAGCATTTGTGGCATTTGTTCACTAGGCAATCTATAAAGCTCAAGAAAATGGAAAGGCAGTGGATACAGATATACCTCTTTAGTATATCCCTTTTCTTGCCAGGTATATATTGGGAATGAAACAAACTGTGAGTAATTTTTTACAAGCCTTTGAATTCTTTCTGGATGTGCATAATCTTTGTCGCCATGCTAAATATTTATAGAAGAATATGACAAACAATAGGATTAGCTTGGAATCTTGGTAAAGAAAGCAATAAGCAAATACTAGAATCAGTACTGTGCGGCAAACCTTAAGATATAACGTGAGGCGTGTCCCTCTAGGAATGAGCTTCTCAGGGTCGGTCTCCTCTCTAATAGTATAGGAGCTGGAATTGGCCTCTCCTTCCCATACATATTGCTTATCAGATTTTGGGCTCTTTGTTGAGACAACAACCTATAGATAACAGGATGTACGAGACTTTACAAATACTGAAAAGAGAGTTTATGCATCAAAGAGTAAGAGTAGAGAAGACAAACAAACTTAAAGCTTACGACCATGACATACCCGATCAGAAACTAGAAAAGCTGAATAAAATCCGACACCAAATTGACCAATTAAATTGCTATCTGTGCCAGCATCCTTGCTCTCCTGTTAAACAATCAATTTTATTACAATATGACACTTTTGATCAAGTCACTTAAATATAATAATTCACACATCACTGAACAAAAGGGAAACCTTCAACGCCTTTAAGAACTTTGCAGTTCCACTTTGTGCAATAGTTCCCAGACAATCAACAAGGTCTTGGCGAGTCATACCAATGCCAGAATCCCTGCGCAGAGCTTACAAGGTCACAATAGCAAGAGGCAAAACATCAACCAAAACAGTTTTTAGAGCTTGCACAACTGACGTGATTGTAATTATCCCATTATCTTTATCTGTTTGGATATGGATATCAAGATCAACTGCATCCTTCAAAAGCTCAGCATCCGTAACACTAAGAAACCGCAGCTTGTCCAAGGCGTCACTAGCATTGCTGTGGATTGAAACCAAAAAGTTGAATAAAATTAAATAATTAGTATCAGTTAATTCATTTATAGGCATGATACACTCCAATTCCTGCTTCCAATTTAGCATAACACTATAACTATGTTATTTTTGACAAACAGTAAACAATTATTAGAATTAAGGGCCAAAGGGGAAAAAAGCACAACATAAAGATACAATGGAGCAGTAAATATTTTTATAATAAAGAAAAACAAGAATACATCAAAACTAATAAACCAATACAACAATATAAGCCCCCACAATGATCCCTAGTCCGACATAATATATCCGGCACAGCATAGAAATGAAAAAGACAAGTTTAGTGTAGCTCAACCTCAATTTCTAATCACAACTACAAGCAAAACACAGCATCTGAAACATGCACTATAGTGACCAGTATAACTGAAAATGCACACCAAAACAATTATAGATAGTCATACGTGGAAATTTGAATGCAGACAACTACTAAAGAACCATTCTCTTTGGTTCTCATGTGACCACAAGGGTTGCCTTGGGATGAAGGCCAAGGATCTAGGTGTTAAATTGTGCCGGAGATGAGGATATCCCAAAATAATGCAAGCGAGCATAGCCCTTTTAAGATTAGATTACTTTTTTGGGTCCAGAAATTTTTGATTAATTTAAAAATGGTTATGCCATCATTTACTTAAATTTATATTAATCCCTTTAACTAAAAGAGGAATGATACAAGGAAAATAATAGCGTGCCTAGAAAACTGCCCCAATGACGTGTAAACAAAATTCAAGTTTAACCATAATCGCAAGCCTTTGCCATTGTCAGTCAACTAAGTAGGGCTTGAGGCCCCTTGCGAATCTGTAAACCTAAGGAGCATGCCGCAACAAAAGGATGGTCCCCTATGCATTTTGTTCTTTCCAGAAGGGAAAAAAAAGTGCCCTCAAATTCAAACGAGTCACCTATCTAAAGGATCCAACTGGAAACCCACACAAGCGCAAAAACTTAGAATCATAAGACAAAGGCTACAAAACACATGATATTGATTCCGAAATACCAAATAATAAGGCTTTCAAAGTAACAAGAAGCACCTCTTTTACCCATTTTGAGTGTTACTTTGTTCAATTTCCTTTTTCCTGTCCAACTAAAATTCATAACAGTCCTATGCCTGCCCATTCTTTTTTTAAGATGAGCAAAAAAAACCTCATGTAAGGCCTCGTGTATATGTACCACATACATTCATTTCCAAAACCAATATGCAGATTTTCTGTATGTTTCACCAAGTACCGTCACAATGCTAGTCCGAAAGAGACCTCCAAGCTCTATAAGATTACAAGATTTCCAAACATCATACTAGGGAGGCATCTTTCATACATCAATAAAAGGTAGTGTAACAAGATAGATATGATATCAAATGGTTTTGGCGAAGGCATGCCTGATAAGCTCCCGAAGAAACACCTCTTTGTTGCTGTATAAGCTGTTAACTATGAGGTCCATGAGTCGACTAACCTGCCACCATTTGAAAAAACTTTATTGACAAATTCACCAAACATTATAATGGAGACTCAATCAGTTCGTTTCCCCATAAAACAAGGGATAAATCGTTCAAGTTGTGTACCTCTGCTTGATATTCATATTTCTCGGCTGGTAAATAGGATGCATCAGACGCCACAGCAGTGGACTCGTATCTAGTGCCTAATGATGGTCCATTTCTCAGGCTAAAAGGATTAATGGATCCATTGGCATTGCATTTCCCATCGGTCAACACTGAGTACCATCTTAGTTTCGAATCACCCTCTCCAGCCTAATAATGGTGGTTGACATACATATTGTAACTTAAGAAAGATTATGCTCCAAGAAATAAAAACATTGTTCAAACTTGACACATCAACATGACATATAACAGTCAACAATGCAAACTTTGGAAATGACTCCTCAAGAACAATCACTGTTAAAGCAATATAAGTCCATCAAAAATGTGAAAATTTTCTAAAAATATATACTTTTCTAAAATAGAAAATTTTGCAAGGTACCCCAACTCTATGAAATTATATCATGTAAAAATTAGGCATCGAGGGTGTTTTGAGTTCCACTTGCACTTATATGGCCCCATTACCCTTTCTCACATTTGAAGTAACCAAAACAAACCTGAAGTCCCATTCATTTGGGGTCGGTTATATGAGTACGTCTTTACTATTCATTTCACTCATACACTATTTGTTCATTTAAATTAAATATTTTCATATCTTTTCTTCTTGTGTTCAATATTAATTTAAGTCTACCCCTAATCCTAGTACCATTAAGAAAAATTTTATCATTTTTTTCTCACATTTGGAGTCACGCAGAGAAATAGATTTCATATCTTTTCTCGGATTTCTTCAGAAGACATGATTCAAAAAACACACAGCTTTCGGCTGCCAATTACCTTAAATTAAAATGTAAGAGTAAGACACTAGGCCGAGGCAATTCAACTACCAAGGTCATCCAAACGGACATCATGTATCATTAAAATAGCTACATAGCCAAACAAGTCCATGGTAAAAACCTATAGATACAGACAAGCCATTGTATTTTCGGAACGACAATCTCAAGATTCCATCACGAAGAAACTGAAACAAAAAAGCGAAATCCGGCTGGAATCAATCACTTCACAAGACTCTATAGAAAGCACAAGATAACCCAAGAAAGTGGTAAATCAACGAACATACAATGAAATGACTTTAGAAGAATCATAAGCTGAATTGAAGAAGCTTATGAATAAACACAAGTGTACATACCGATTCTTTAAAGGGATTGACTGAGGAAATTGGGGCAGTGGCATTTCGGTACCTTGCACCACCGTTGCGAAGAATAGCAGAGACGGAACGTCTCGAGAGCCTTTGCATCTTAGCAAGCAGCGATGGAAAATGTGGAGAAAAATGAGATTATAACACTGGAATGCGACTGCTTTGAAGCAGAGAGAGTGAAGAGAATGGAGGTGGTAGGGTTTTAGTAGGGGCTGTGGAGGGGTTTATGGAAGCTTCTGGAGATGGGTACATTGGATGGAGGGAGAGAGAGAGAGAGAGAGAGAGAATGAGTCGTGGGTGTTTTGGTCATTTGGGACGATATCTCTGTGTTTTTTCGTGGATAGGCGGTTTGCTTGTAGCAGGGTAAAATGGTAAATCAAGCATATGAATTCAATAGCCGGTGGTTGCTCGACTCTTATTTATAATTCATTCTTGGAAAAATTACACCTAAACCCCTAGAGTTTATAACTTAATCACCTAGATTATTTTATATTTAAAATATTACACACAAATCTCTTAAAATTTATATGCATGTAACACATAGACCACTACAGTTAATATCTAATGACGATGGGGTCCATCTTTGCCATCCATCAATTTCATTTTATGAGGGACAAGAAAATATGGATTTTACTTATAAACTTGGAATTTAGGTTGCCTAGACTAATTTGTATAATTATTCAGAAAAAATTGCTTGATACTTAATTATAGTACTTTTTTTAATATTTCATTTGTAACTTTTAAATAGCATTTATTTTGTTAAAATGAGAAAAAATTGTACGAAGAGATACTGCACAATGGCTCCTATCAAGACAATGTAATTGTCGATTGTAAGAGGAAATTAACTAAAATAACACGCAATCAACACTTGAGATGAATGAGAAAAGTAATTTCTATGCAAAACACTAAGTTACCTATTAATCAATAGACACGAGTAGAACGTTGAAATCTCCGAGTAAGTAGGCAAATTGAATATGATCTTCCTAAGGAGATTTATGCGTTGGAGGGTGAGTTCTAAGCTTATTTACAGTACAAGTGGTTGGGATAAGCAAGGTACATACAGAGGCTAACCCCAACTATTTGCTTACAAAGTCACGCTATATTTAGCAGTCATGTCTCATACTTCCAACAATGTCAACTATATTTGTAAGATTACCCTCAATATGTGCCATCCCCCTGTGTTCCTAGCAATAATCAAGTTGGTGGAACAATCCTCCAATGTACCCCATAAATTCAGTTGTCGAGGGTGGGCCTGATTCTTTGAGGGAGGATCTCAATCCTCAACGTAAAAGTTATGGAGAAGAGTGTATAAACGTAAACAAGTAGCGCGAAATTAGAGATTGATAAGACTCTCAATTCGCAACTATATAATTGTCAGGTTAAGCAGATCCCCGGTATTTCACATTGCATCTGGTTCCAGAAGTATGAAGGTAGACTCGCCACGATCACATTGTTCTTGGGTTCCATTGCACAATTTGTTGTCAGTGTGTCAAGATTTCACTTACTACTCCAGTGACCATAGAGTTTCTTTTGACAAGTGCAACATTGGAATTAGAAAGTACAATATATATATATATTTTTTTTTTTCACAAGTGCAACATTGGAGTTAGAAATAAAATGAAGAACAATATAGTATTATTAGCAATTGCTCATACCTGAAGACACTGTTTAACAAATAAAATACTTAATGTTTCAATAGTTTGAAAAATAAATAAGAACCTACCCAAAAAAGTTAGAAGAGCAAAAAAAAAATTAAAATTGATAATGTTGTAGTTTTAGTAAATGTCAATAGGTCAAGAATAAAACAAAGTGGATCACCACTGTCAATGTGACATAGAACCAAAACTAAAAAATATTATCTAGTTAATAACCATTACCACAACGCCACATGAGAAAAAACCCAACCGATCACAAAAATAAATCCAGTTGATCATCATTGTTGCCCCCAACAAAAGAAAAGCAAAATCCCAGGTAATTGCACAACAACTTATCTTTCACTCAATTTATGCAATCAAGCATTTGTCACATTAACAACAAAACTAATATTAAACAACACCACAAAATTAAGAGATTATATCCCAAGTAATGACGTGCAAGCACTAATCACTGAAACACAATATATAGAGAGCAAAATAAATACCTATTCTTGTGTCTTTTCACCTTGAAATCTTCATTCATCACCACCATGTTTGCAAAGTACTAACTATATAAATAAAAGCAAGCAAAAAAATTTCAAACACAGCCCATATAAGCAATAATATTATTTCTCTTAGTAAAACCAAAGTACCAAAAAATTGATTACATGAACTTACAAAAGTCTCATACATCCAATTTGGCCAAGCACACCACTTGTGTATGTATCGGAGGAGTGAACATCCAATTAGTGACAACAACCCCATCTGCCACTTTTAAATTCCTTGAATTCATCATGATGAGTCAAATCACTTACCCCTATAATTTTAATCGAAACTCACCTTCATTAAAGACAACTTAAAATACCAAATTTTCAACATGGTGAGACTTTAAGAAAGGAACCATCTCGAAAAATATTACAATTTATACACCAAAGCACTTACTTGCGTTTCTATACTAAACCTATGTTCTAAATCTGTTATGTTGACTGTTGCAAACTTACATGAGTGCTTAGTAGCAAATCATTTTTTTCACACTAACAAACACACCCACAAATCGACAACTCAAACCACAGGCATCCACATTAAAAAAATTCCAATACACCCATCAATCGGGAACACAAAACACAAATATCCATATCAAAAAGAATTCAAACATTGCCATGACAATTTATCAAATAGTTGGTACGTAGGGGCTGCGAGGAAAAGGAAGGGGCACTATGGGGTGGGATGACGATAGTGAAAGAGGGAGAGAAGGAGAAAGAAAGATAGAATTACCTTTGACAATGGTTTGGTCGCCAGAGCAAAGAGAAAAGAGAAGAAGCAGTTAATCTCCAGAGCAGAGAAAAAAAAGAGAGAATAAACTAATTAGAAAAAATGAAAGGAGTGTGTTTGATATAGAGGGAGAAAGTGAAAGAAATGTATCTAAAAGAAGAGGTGGCTGTCATTGGCGATGGTTGTGCAGCGGTGCAGAGAGATGAGAGAAGGGGCGACTGTTGGCTATTGAAGGAGTTGATGGCTGGGTATTGGGTAGCGGCACAGATAAGGAAAATAGTAGAGAGCAGAAAAACCCAGGGTAAGGGTGATTAGGGCATAAAGAGAGTGAGCATGATAGAGAGAGGAGTTATGACACAAATAACGTCTGAAAATATTTGAGATAAAGAGAAAGAAGATTTGAAGAATTAGTTGGGATTGAAACTAAGCACTGATTTAGAATAGAGATATGGGGAAGATACATATGTTTAAGAAGGAAGAAGATATGAGGGGAGGGGGGAGAGAGAAAATTTTGGGTGATAGGAGATTATGCAGAAATTTTTGGGTGTGATAGATGGTAAATAAAATTGGAAATTTTTGTGGGCGGGAAAAGAAAATTCATGACTCATTCTGGTTCGTCAAATCAACAAATTTTAAAATGATCTGAGTCATCTTTTATTTTAAGATTATGTTGTCCGTTAAATATGTATTTGTTTTATTTCAAAATGATCTGAGTTTTTTCTTTTATCTCTATAAACCTAAATACGTAACAAAGATCAAAGATAAAGAAAGAAAATCAAAGATAACATAGAGATTACATTTTGATAGGGAAAGAAAATCAAAGAACGCAGAGATTATATTTTGATAAGGAAAGAAGCTCAAGGACCATCGGATTTAAAGAGAGAGAACGTTGTTAGACGAAAAAATAAAATTTAGTATTCACTGTAGATCGTTAAATTAAAATTTTTAAAATAATTTGAACCATCTTTTATATTAGAATTATATTATCCGTTGGATGTATTTATATTTTATCTTAAAATAATTTAAACCTAACAATTTAAACCTCTCTTTGCCTTTTAGGTTTAACCTTCGTTCTATTTTATCTACTTTATTGTATGGATAACCATGAAATATCAGGTGCAATATATTCATAATTACATTGAATACTCAAAAGACTTGCAAGATCATCATAATAAAACCTTTAAAGTGAGCGTCGTACTACATATCTATGTCTTCAGCAATTATTAACACCCTCTGATCTCTCCATTAGGAAAATCATGGGTGGGTCTACTACCGCGCTGAAATCAACCCTTCTATTTAATATATAATAAAATACAATGAAAGGCCTAACCCTAAAACAATGTGGCTACTAACAATTGAGTGCTCTCTTTCAGCTAGAGCTGCCTATTATACCGTGTATAACAATTAGGTGCCCGAGTGTGTTTCAAAAGCCAAGAGCCCTCCCTTTTTATAAACATGAGAAGCCAAAAACTTCTCACAGGCAGTCGACGTGGGATTCGGTCCCAGCCACAAAAAATGCTTTCCAACGGCAGTTCTTGTTGCATTTTTGTATTTATGCCTTCGTCGATTATTTTTATACCCAATTAAAAGTTAAACAAATTTAAATTATTTATGTCTAAAATTAACTTTTTATATATAAAAATATATATTTATATAATATGGCGCTCTCAAGACACTCCCGTTTTAAGATTTTTTTGAAATTTTATGCTCCCGCTTTCGCTCCATGTGACTTAGATTCGAATCACAAACGATACACAACTCTACAAAGAAATGGGTTGGGTTAGAAGCATTTTTAATAAAATTCTTTTCCTGTATTTGTTCGATTAAAAATTCAAGACAAAAGGGACGAGCATGAAACTATAAGTAACTGTCTTTCTATTTCTCGATCCCAGAGTAATGGTAAGAGAATTCATATATCGATTTACAAGAGTCGGGACTCTTTGATCATATCATCATTCTAAAAGGTTTCATCTCTACTACATAATCAGAGAAAATATTCATTACAATAGTGATATTGCGTTGTAAGATGATGTGGTATCACCAACTAATAGTACTAAAACAAATAAGTACATGGAACCAACAAAAATCGATAACTAATCTATCATGTAAACAAATAACTTATCACTCTTTTGTCATATAAGCTCAAGTGGGGTTCATCTTTCATATTTGAGGTTTTATTGTTGGTAGGTGATACCATGTCATCAATGGTGACGTGGTATCACTGTTACATTCAACATTTACTCACAAAATCGGACACCAGAATTTCTTCTCATTTAGTTCGTCACAAATGAAATCCAAAATCTTTAATTAAGATATACATGATATTTAACGATCAATAATATAATGAATCATAAGATTCTTTGAGATTTCATCTAATTTATTAGGAATTCATATATCTTATTTGGATATATAATTAAACATATATTTTATTTTTAGAAAAAATTGATAAAAAATTTCGCATTATAACAAATATTTATTTTATTTTGTCTTTAATCGTTTCAGTTTCAATCGCCCCAAATTTAGCAAAAAAAAAATTCACGGACGAATATTAACTCTTTCAATATCTATTTCATTTGTAGGGTTAAGACATGCCGTATCAAAATGAATGAATTGGTCATTTACTCACTTTCCTCTAGAAACTGCTGAAACAACGAAGAAAAGAAAGCGTTTGAGCCAATTTTATCCATCATGATGAAGAAAAAAAAGAAGTTGAAAAACAAAGATTTCCCTCATTCACAACAGAGTTTTATTATTCATAACTAAAGTATACACAATAAAGTAAAGAAATATCCTCTCACAAATAAGACTAATTACAAATATACCCTTCTTACATGATGTGAAACACTTTATAAGATAACATTTACAACAAATGGCATGACAGAAGATTTTTATGAAAGTTTCCAAATCTCACAATTCTAATAGAAACAAACGGTAAGCATTCTCTGAAATTTTTTAGGGGTTGAAGCTCTTTGGGGGAGGGATGAGGTTGGAACCTCGCACTCGAGAATGAGCCCTTATCACTAGCTTACTCGATCCTCTCAACATTGCCTTATTTTTCTCTTTCATAACAAGAAAAATGAAAGGTTAATAGTACTTTTAATCCCGAAAATATACTCATTTCATGAATTTGGTCTTTATTGTATTAATTTTATCAATTTGATCCCTAAAATTTTTAATTCATGTCACTTTGACCCCTAATCAAACAATTTATTAAATTTTTTTTTACGGAAGTGACCACATATTATTCTTTCACACGTTATCACGTACTCAATACTTGATTATTCTGTAAAAAACTCAATGGTCTATTTGTGTATGAATTGTTAAAACATGAATTAAATATTTTGAGGACTAAATTAAAAATTAATCGTTTAGAGACTAAACTAACAAAACAGGTTGAGTTGGAAACTGGAAATAGAGATCATATATATTACAGGTGAAGAGAGGTATCGACGTCCGAATTATCAGAACTACGTGTTGTGCTCACGATTTCTTTATCAATGGACCTTAAATTTCTCGAGGGTGAGGCTTTCACGGCTCGAAACTCTGCATGCTGGTTACATGGGTTGAGTCCAAGGGAGACTGAATTCTGAAGAGTTGAACTAGCTGGAAAGATTGTTTCATGGCGGAAGCGGAACAGCAACTTGGCAGGCTCAGACTGCTGGACTGGGGCGATCCGTTTGGGCTCGGGGAAGAATTTTCGCAGCTCTCTCTCCTCTCTCTGCTCCCTCACTCTTTGCAGCTGTTTAAATCTCTCCTGCAGGAGAGCAATGGAAGAACCAACAGGCATTTTAACACTGCTTTGTCTTCCCATCGAAGGGGCATTTTCACAATCATTTGGTGCGCCAGGTGGCATGTCGCTGGACTTTCAAGAATTCGGTTGCTGTAAAGAATCGTAAGATAGATGATGAATTTGGGACTTTTTGAATGGAAAAGGGTGCATATATATTGGAGAAAACTGTGGATTCGCTGCCATTAATTTATGGGTTACGTGAAAAAATCGAGGAATCGGCAACTTTGCTGCGTAGTCCAAGGAGAAAAGTTACATGGCTGAGCGTAGGCTTTCGTTGGTGAATAAGATGATGGGAAGACTTTTTGAAGGGAGAAGGTGCAAATCCAAATGGAGATGGAGGGTAGCAATTGGAGGGTTCTGCTTGAGGGCATCAAAGTTGGTTAGGCAATGTTGTGACTTGTGAGGGCTGTCTTTATGAGTTCTTTAGGCATTGTAGAAGATGGTGCCTATTTTGGTCTGTTGTGGAGTTCGACTGCATAGTTCAACAATGGTATCCCGCGGATCCAGATTGTCTGTTAGTTTTTTAACGGTAGGATGTTGTTACTTAAAATGACGTTATTTCATGTGAAAATGATATCATTTTATTAAATAGAATAGCGTCGTTCTGGTGTGAAACGGTATTTCAATCAATTATAGGCATCAGACATCAACTTTGTCTATCTAATTATATAGATTGTAGTTGTTGAGTCTGATCAGTCTGACTTTGATCAGGAAAGAAATAAAAATTTATAGAACTTACCCGTAAGAGTCTCTCCCGATATAACTATGCGATTCGATCCTACTTATTTGACTGCTAGTGTTACTGAGGAGCAACACTTCTACCACACAACAGACAATAGAGGATCCAGACTTTATACCCCCACACAACAAGAATCTGTGAAGTCTAATGGTGCTTACTTGAGGCTGTAAAGAGTATGCCATAGTTAGATTTACGAGAAACAGATTTTTAAGTTTTTTTTAGGTGTTTAGTAGACCTGAGGTTCAACTATGATTTAGGCAGGCGCGAAGCTATAATTTTTTCGTTAAAGGGGCAAAGCAAAAATAAAATAAATACCAATAGATACAAAAAAATTATAAGTTTAAGCATGCAAAATAGAGTATGATTTATGATTAAATTACTCTATGACAAATAAAATCTAGACAAAAATAATGTAAATACCAATAGCTACAAAAAAATTATTAGTTTAAGCATGAGAAATGTAGTATGATTTATAATTAAATTACTCCATGACAAATAAAATCTTTATCAACAATATATCAAAGGAAAACATAATTTTTTAAAAAATCTCAAAAATTGTCTATAATTTCCTATACTAAGTTTCTTAGTAATTTTCGTAAAAAGAACTGGTCACAAAATGATCATTGGTTTTCTTGCAAAGCCTGATTGAAATCATCTTACATCTTTTTGAGAAATTTATTCTTTAGAAAATCAAAAAACACGCATTTAGATTGGGTTAGAAAGTTTTATAATTTGCATCTCTCCATGTTTTACTCATTTACAAACCATTAATTCACCACCAAAAAAAAAAAAAGAGAGTCACAAGAGACTATACGACTATAAATTTTTTTAGATTAATTAAGGGGATAATAGTGGATTATTAACTTACCGAAAAGTAAAAGATATGAATCATTATATTAAACTTTAAAAAATCAAGAGTTACAAAACACGAGTTTAAATAAAGTCGCGACCTTTTAAACAAATATAAATGAAGGTTGTTAAAAGGTGAGTGGGGCAAACTGCCCCCTCAAACTATAAGGTAGACCACCATTGGGTTCTGATTGTCTTTAGGGAATGTCTGTGAATTCTTCCGTTTAGGTCCCTCTACAGAGCTTCCATAGTGGATGAAGCTCCCTCACACTTATGGTGTAAAGATTTCACATCTGATTGCTCCCTCACACTTCCCTTTTTTTTTTTTTTTATTTAGGGGGAAAAACAATGGTATCCCACTATTTTCTTCAAATAAATACCTTAGACGATATTATGTTATTATTGACATTCGATATCCCCAATTACTAATAATTAAACATATAGGATTAGTAGACCAAATTAATTTAATATGGTAGTTATCACAGTTGAAAAGTCATCATGATAGTTATCACAATCTAAATAAAATTCAAAAAATTATAACTTAAATGCATATCATCTCTTGACCAAAAAAAAATGCATATCATCTAAATAAGTCCCATCAACTTTTTTAATAGGATCGACTCATCTAACACTTATCAAAGGAATGATATGTATTTTGGTTATAATTTTGGGATTTTATTTAGACCGTGTAACATTTTTTTTAGTGTTTACATAACTTAGTACTAGTCATACATGTTGGTGTATTATCGATGAATGATATTGTGTACGAATCACAATGTAATATCAGCGTTATACGGGATATTTTTCTCTTTTTTTCCATCAACTAGAATTTTATTACTTCACATTGTTTTTTTTTTATTTTTGCAATTAATTAGCATATATAAGTCAAACCAAGATTAACGGTTTCAAATTATTTTTTTGTATGTCATCTAACTATTCAAATTACACTTGATTGTACATTGGGTCCATCATGGATGAAAGAGAGAGAAACCCACCTACCATGATAATTTTCATATGACACTACTCCCCGATTCTAGTAATGCCATTTTATTTTATTTTTTTGAAATTTTGAGTTTCCTAAAGTGGTTTATAACAATATAATGCACTCCATGTACCACGGAATAGAGTGATCCAATGAGATATCAGTCGAACTTTTTACATTGAACTTGAAAGTTTGAGTTTTGGAGTCTACATTAGGATTTGGTGATTGATCGATATAATAATCTAATTAAGTTCGTTTTTTATAGGAGTAACGAATTTAGTCAGGATATCATGATGCCTTTAGTGAGGGAACGCTCTCCTTGCCCCCACTCCTTTTTTATTCTCAACAAAAAAAATCATTTCAAAAAATATACTGAGTTCTAACTCGTTCTTGTCTGTCTCTACCAGACATCTATCTTAATACTCAGCAGATCCAAAAGATTCTCATATTGAACATATTCCACTGAATGGCAAATATCAATAAAAAATACTATATAACCCAAATAAAACCTTCGAATTAAAATTCAAATGTATATCATTTTTTAGATGAATATGAAATGAGTGAAATCACTCGTTCAAAAGATGATATATATATATGAGTTACAATTTTTTATGTTTTATTTGAGATTTGTAGCCTTACTCGTTAGCAATAGAGTTCACTTGAGTTGGAAACTGGAAACAGAGATCAGATTACAGGTGAAGAGAGGTATCAACGTCCGAATTATCAGAACTACGTGCTGTGCTCACAATTTCGTCATCAATGGACCTTGACTTTCTCAAGGGTGAGGCTTTCACTGCTCGAAACTCATCATGCTGATTACATGGGTTGAGTCCAAGGGAGACTGAATCATGAAGAGTTGAACTAGCCGGAAAGTTTGTTTCATGGCGGAACAGCAACTTAGCAGGGTCAAAATGCTGGACTGGGGCGATTGGTTCGCGGTCGGAGAAGAATTTTTGCAGCTCTCCATCCTCTCTCTGCTCCCTCACTCTTTGCTGCTCTCTCTCCTCTCTCTGCTCCCTCACTCTTTGCAGCTGTTTAAATCTCTCCTGCAGGAGAGCAATGGAAGAACCAACAGGCATTGTAACACTGCTTTGTTTTCCCATCGAAGGGACATTTTCACAATCACTTGGTGCGCTACCTGGCATGTCGCTGGACTTCAAAGATCCAGTTGTTGGGTAGATAGACGATGGATTGGGGAAGGCTTTTGGTAGGCAAAGGGTGCATTTATAGGAGAGCAATGTAGAGTTTCTGCCATTAATTTATGGGTTTTGAAGCTTTCCAATCGACTCTTTGATGACGCGAAAGAATCGAGGAATAGGCAACTTTGCAACATAGTACAAGAAGAAGGTTGCATGGGTGATGTATTGTAGATTGCGTTGGTGAATAAGATGATGGGAGGACCCTTTGAAGGGAGAAAATGGTGAGGGTGTAAGTCCAAAATGGAGACTGTGGGTCGCATTTGGAGGGTTTGGTTGATGGAATAAAAAGTTAGGCCATGCTGTGTGGGTTTTGTCTTTAGGAGCCCTTAAAGCTTTGTAAAAGATGATGCCCCTTTTGTTGTGTTTTGGAGTTTTGATTGGTTAGTTCAACAATGGTATCTCTTGCCTGTCGCCACATTCTCGTCTCAATCTATAATAATAAAACAGACTCTACAGTTTAAGCTGTTTAAATTCTTCACTGAAAGAAAATATAATGGGTAAGATCGATTAAATTCGATAATTTATATTATAATTTAATATTTTAATTAAAATAAGTAATTTTAATTTTAGTTGTTTAATCATAATAACTTAAATTTTAACATTTTAATCTTTTAACCATAAAAACTCATTTAAATTTTATTTCAAAGAGATTGATTTTTTGAAAATGAATATGTGATATATCTCTTATCTAATGCTTAAATAAATAGCCTTTGAACTTTTAATTGTTTCAATTTAGTCCATTAGCTATCAATTTTGTGGTCATAAAGCTTTTTTGTTCATTTCACTCGTTAATACAAAGAGTCAAGCTCATCTGTTTGTGATATGGTCGTTCGTGTTATGTGTCTCTATTTGTTCTAACTGGTGAAATAGGCAAAATGACTTTATTAACACTAAATTAATTGTTGAGAGGTCAAATTGAGATAATTAAAAGTTCATGAACCATTTTAAAACAAGTGTCAAAATTTAATATAACTAATTGTGATATTTACACTTAATTCAATATGATAGTTACTAGAGGTAAAGTTACTTGTAGTGATAGAATTCACTTGTTGCTCATCGAATTTTTTATGCTTCAGCTCTCTCTCTCTCTCTCTCTCGGGGGTCCAACTGCGCAGGTTGCACAACAGCAGGGCTTCCAGCTTCTGCTCCATAACAGAGCAAGGAAGAAAAGAGAAGGAAAAGAAATAAAGAAAAACTCGGGGTTTCATCAAACTCAACTGGCACCATTCCTGTCCTAGGAAGAGCTAAAGGGTTTCATCTCTACAGCATACGAAGACCACAGTGCAGCATAGACACGAGAAAATAAACTATAAGGACAGCACTAGATAACCAATACTGCCATCACCATGTACTGAAATTACCACAAGATATGTACCAAGACAACACTAATTTTGAGCACACTCTTTAACTAATAGAATCATACAGTTACATCACAATTTTCTTATTTGAATAGAAAATTGTTGATAGGAGGTGTATTAGAGAAAATGAAGCTGTTTTCTACAATCTGGTGCAGCTTCTGTGGGGGTCACTGAAACATCCAATGTTTGCTACAAGCCAAACAAAAATGCAAGCAGTGTTCTAGAACCATGGTAGAGCGCAGGATCAATGGCGTGTTTTATAATGTCAAGAGTTTTGATCCTTCCTCAAGGCTCCATTTGTGTAAATGAAGTACAGTGAAATATTGGGAGCTAGTATGATGTATGCACTTCTGTACTTGTTCAACAGATATACAGGGTAGTGATCAGGATACCACTTCAAGATAGTGCAGTCTATGCGGATGACTTCTTCCAAAGAGAATTGGAACTGTTACAAGACTTCCCAGGAAAGAATGTAAAACCAGCCTGTCATCTTGGGATAAGTTTCAGCAAATATCACCACCCTCATAGTACAATGGATTCCCAATCTCCGAGAAGGAGATGGTAAACTCTACATTCCATTGTTAGTTTCTATCGAGATTCACTAACACAAGCCCAAAGTACTGGTCCTCATTCGGGAAACAATTTAAAGAAATTGTCATGTTATCTTATGATAAGCCACGAGAGCATCTAGCAACTCAACTCAACTCAACCCCGAAAATCCTCATCCTGATTGTTTGGGATCAACTACGCATTGGGTTCTATGAAGGTTTATATTTTCTATTAAATGGCAAGCTACGATATCTTAATATATATTCTGGATATGATAGAGTACCTCATTCTAATGTACATCTATTTTATCAAGAAGAGAGAGCTGTTCCAAAGATGCACAAGTTTGCATAGTAATAACAATTAGAATCATGTGCTGGGCTGCCGCTGTTGAACACCACCCTAAAAAACCTCATATAACAAACAATGTTCTCAACGATGACATCATATATTCGGTGTAACTATCTCACATGGAACTATTGCGCTGTCAATTAATGTCAGAGCGTAAGTAGGAATGTTATTTCATTATCCTTAGAAGTAGATGGCTTTGTCAACTGTATCATGGAATTCACAACACTTCTGTTTTTGATCAGGAAGATACAGTTTTTACAAAAGCAGCTCCATATTTCCATCCTCAAATTCAAATTCATGTTCCCAAAAGCACCATTAAAGTAACAAAATGTGAATAGTGAATAGTTTGCTTAAACCTCTAAAATATGAAGTGGACAAAATATTGATTCCATTAATAGGAATTACCTTGCACTTTTTACTGGTACAGTAACATTTCCTGTATAAACATGTTCAAACCATCTAAATTGATTCTTCTTTTAGTTTAATGTTTATCCCTTATTGCTATTGCTTGTTTCACAAATATACTGATTTCTAATTCATTCTTCTCCGGCTCTACCACACATCTATCTTAATATCCAACAAGTGATCCTAATTATATGTTGATCAATCAAACTCAATTGGTAATGGCCATGCAATGGAATATGGTCAGTGTGAGAATAAAAAGAAATTTGGCCCATGATAGAGCACAATAGCGAAAAAGGATTCATGCAGCCAACCCCAAAAATATTGGGACAAGGCTTTGTTGAGTTGAGTTGTAACAGCCCTAGTCAAGCTCTCCAACAAGGTCATTCAGGTCAGGAATCCAAAAGGCGGTAATATGTTGATAATATAGAAAGTTATGGTTACATTGCTATGGTAAAATCAAATCAAAGAATTGGCCTTAGATTAATCGTGAAAGAGTGTGTATATGGAGATTAGATCCATTGAAGGAAAAAGAATTAATTTTTAATGAGGTATACAACAAAAAAATAATTCCATATGGGTATTTTATAAGTACCTCTATGCACAGGCAACATCCCAAGCTGTAAATCTGATCCTGCAAAAAAAAATTCTAAGAAAGTCAAATTCTCCAAATTTAGGTCCATAATGTGCCAAAAATTTAAGGGCAGTGCACATAAACCTTTGGTAAACCAGAAAAATTAGGGTCGAAGCACATTATCCATTGACACGACCTGGACTTGATTGACAGCAAATGCCCATCTGTTAGATCAGTCCCATCTAAGATTTCCCTAGTGAGAGATTAAGTTGGATGGTTAAGAGCCTATATTTAAATGAACCATACAACTAGAAAGTATGGATAGAACAAGAACAGACAATGAATATTATGTTTTTCCTTTATCTTAGGCTAAGTTGTAATTCAGTGATTGGAGGGGCACAAGCAAAATTTTTGTCCAGCACGAAACTGTGAACGGTGGCCTCTGGTAGCAGCAAAATGTGAGGGATTATCCTTGTTACTACCTGAAATTGCCAATTCTTAATGTGAAACTATAACCTAAGAGCCATAAAATGAACAATTTCAAGTTAGAAAGACAGAAGGAACTACTCTGTCTTTATCCACTTTCATGTCCAGGAAGTGAACTTCATACATATAGAGAAGATGTAACATTGCAGTCCTTAAATAAACAAGCATAAGAAATACTTTGCAATGTACTCTTTTTTTTATGTTTCAAAAAACCTCATTCAGAGCTGCTTTCCTTATCCATTGCCTGCTGATTCTTTGTCAATATATCTCTGCAAAGGCCAGCAGACAAAAGAACATGGAAGGCCCCGATTCACAATTTTCCTTCAAACACTATGTGTTTGTTGTCCAACCACTGGTGAATCAAAAATTACAAAAATTTACTCTTTAAAATTATGTCAAAGAGGCACACAGAGAGCAAATTAGTCTTCGCACAAAGCATATTTCAGCATACTGACCATAGATTCAAATTCTGAGGAAACAATATGTGCTTTTAGCAGAATGTATCAGCAAATGAATGTACACAACAAGAACATGGTCATGTAAAATATCCAGCAAAAAGCAATTAAATGCCCAAATATAAAATTAAGCCTTCCCATTTTCACCTGGTAATGATCAGCTTTGGGCCAAAAGCTCACTCGTCATTGATTGCTACAACATTCCAAAGTCAGACAGATTTGGGTACACTTTCAGTGGAATTTCTGTAAGGAAAAAATATTCCAATATAAATTCTCTTTCAAGGAGCTTCAAGAAAAATCACCCAAAGACGAGAATCATAGAATGGTAGAGCATTATAAAATTATATTAAAAAATATTCTTCTGCTCACCATTTTGTTGGTTGATAGAGCAGCAAAGCGAGTGCAACTCAAAAGTCAGTATACTGGTGGAAGTACTGGCACCTCCGCCAGCAGACTGTCGAGGCCATTACAGAGACCCATCTCTCTTCTGGGAGAAAGAACCACATGTTATTTGTCTTGATTCATTAAGGAAATCTCAGCCTGCTTTCTTATTCCCCAGAAATCTCAATTTTTCAGCAACCTGATTTGTATCGGCAGTTTTGTCTACTTTGGACAATTCTCTAGCCAAGATTACATAGGTCTGAAAATTGAGATTGCAATTCTTCGAGTTCATTGAGTGAAGAAGTTTCATGCATGCATCTAGTTCTCCCTCCTTGAGCAACCCATCAATCAAGATGGTCCAAACAATCTCATCGGGGTTCCATTGCTTCTCAAGCATGTTTTCAAACAAAGTTTGAGCTTCTTTTACCCGGCTTGCTTTGCAGAGAGCATTTATAAGTGATCTGTAAACTGATAGCTGAGGCTTAAAGCCTCTCAGGATCATCCAATTAAATACATTTAGAGCATGGTCCACTCTAAAATTCTTGCAATAATCACCTAAGATACAGCAATAGATCTCTTCATTAGGATACAAGCCTTTCTCGTCCATATATTTTACCAATTTTTCTGCCTCGTGACTTTTGCCTCCTCTGCACAGGCCAGCAACTAAGGTGCTGTAGGTATCTGAGGTGGGTTCACATCCATTCTCTGACATTCTAACTAAAAGACTACATAAAATTTCAAAACTGACATCCTTCTCATCTGAATTGCAACTGTATGCTGCTTCATGTTGCACTGCAACCTTTTCTACAAGCAATTGACATTCTTGTTGCAACCCTTTCACCAACACACAATAGGTTCTGTAGTTTGGTTTGCAGCCAATATCAATCATCCGGCGAAGATGTGAAAATGCATGCTCTAGCCTACCCAGCATTACAAATCCATCAATTATTGAGGTATATGTTACCCGATCAGGAGCTAATCCTTTTCTTTTCATTTCTTCAAGCAACATTTCTGCATCATCAGCCTGGCCTTCTAGACATAACCCATGGATGAGTGAACTGTAAGTGTACAGATTTGGCAAGCAATTTCTCTTTTCCATTTCATTGAAAATCTTGAATGCAAGATGTGTTCCACCATTCCTACAGAGCCCATCAATTAAAGTAGTGTATGTAATGACATTTGGGAGGAGCCCCCTTTCTGTTATTTTATTGCACAGTTTCTCTGCTTCAGAAAGCCTATTCTCCTTGGACAAACCATTTAGAATGGCATTATAAGTTTCGATGTTTGGATTGCAACCAACTTCCTCCATTCTTTCAAGCAATGACAAGGCAAAATCTACCTTCCCTTCCTTACTGTAACCATCAATCAAAGAGGTATAATTGACCTGATTTGGGCTCAAGCCTCGCTCCATCATTTCACTGAATAGAGTTGAAGCCAAGTCAAGCTTGCCCCCTTTGCAAAACCCAGACACAAGTTCTGCATAAGTCCATTCATCTGGCTCACATCCATTCCCCTTCATCAAATCCAACAATCTCATAGCATTATTTAGATTACCCTTTTTGAGGTATCCGTTAATGAGCGTGTTATATGTAATAACTGTTGGGGAGGGACCCACCTTTAGCATTTCATTAAAAAGGACCATTGCCTTCTCCAGGTCACCAACTATGCACCATCCCTTCATAATTGCATTGTAAGTTTCAGTGTTTGGCAAATTACCATGTCCCTTCATCCAATTGAAAATCTTGATGGCCACACCAATTCTTTCTCCTACACACAATTCATTGATCAATGCATTGTATGTGACCCTGTTTGGAACCAAACTATCTCTCAACATCTTGTGGTACAATCCAATTGCAATCTCCAGATTCCCCAATTGAGATAACCCACTAATCAAAGCCGTGTATGTCTGCACATTCGGCTGACAACCCCTCTTCTTCATGCTGGCCACAAGACCAATAGCCTCCTTCACACGCCCAGTTGCACATAATGCAGTAATTGGAACAGTATACGTGTATACTGTAGGCTCAATTTTCTTCTCAATCATTTTCTCTAGCATGTCCATTGCCGCATCCACCCTCACCTCATTGCAAAGCCCATTTATTAGAGTCGAATATGTAACCGAATTTGGATCACAACCTTCCTTCACCATCCTATCAAAAACCTCAAATGCCGCATCTAAATTACGGTTCCTACAATGCCCAAGAATCAAAGAAGTATACGTAAACACATCTGGATTCAAATCACACTGAAAAATCCTACTTACCTCCAATTCAGCCTCTTGAACCTTACCCTTCTTGCACAATATGTTAATTATTGTATTAAAAGTCAATAAACTCGGCTTAATCCCACTAATCAACATTTGCTTATATACATTTTGAGCTGCGCCAACCATCTGAAACTTACCCAATTGAATCAACAAAGTATTACAACTATACAAACTATACCCAAGACCTTTTCCACTATATTCATTCAAATAATCGATGACCTTTCCAATTTCTTCCTCATTTTCACATGCCTTTATCATCAGAATCCTAACATGATCGGCGGGTGTGAAAATTCGATCACGGATAAGCCTGTTTAACATCGATACATAACAGTCCATATTGTGCTTGTAAAAAGGCCTCTTAGAGATCCAATAGAAGAATTGCAAAGCTGAGTCCGTGCTTCTATGGGTTTCAATAAATTTAGCAACATGATGGGGTTGGAGATTAGAGCTCAAATGTTTTAGTTCTGAGCTTTTACGCCAATCAAGTGAAGATAATATTCCACTGATTTTATGGACTATATTTGGGAGGTGGGTCTCTTCAGGGGGGTTTGGTGAGTATTGGAACTGGGAAGAAACGTTGGGTTTTGAAGACAAGTTTCGGGATTCAAGAGATGCAAATTTAGGGTAGTGACTACGGAGGTGGATGAGATTGCAAGATTGGGTTTTGAGGGACTTTACCATTTCGGGCGATGAGACCCAGGGAGTTCATGAGTTGTTGCAAAGAGTGCTGAACATTGCTGATGATGAGGTTGTCCCTCCACTTCTACACAGTATAGAGATCAGTGGCCATCGAAAGACCACCGGCACACAGACAAGGAGAAAGTGAGAACCAAACAGTCCATTACAGTTACTAGGGTTATTTTGAAACTTCTCGATTGTCGAACCCTTTCTCTAAATTTAGGAAACTTGTATTTTATACCCCTAAAGATTTAAGCATTTTATTTTATACCCATAATTTTTATTTGATAGTGCAATGTGGACCTTTCGTTAATTTCTCTTACACATTTCGTCAATGTTAATGGAAACTAACGAAAAGGCAACTTATAAGGCATTGAGGGTGTAATAATGTAAAAAATATTTAAACTTTTTAGGATGCAAAGTGAGATTCCCTTTTTATCTTATTATGACGGCACCCCCATAGTTTTCAAAATTAGAATGACACCTCTTGCCAGAATTTTATGGTGCATGTGAATTACCAGAATACCCTTAACCTAGGTAGTATTAACTAATAATAAAAAATTTAGGAAAATGTAAAGAAAAATTTAAATATGACATACATGTAAAATAAAAGGTTAATCTCACTCGGCACTCAGAAAGATCTTTCGATTCTAATTTGTACCCTAACACATTAAAATTTTTAATTTATACTCTCAATGTTATGAATTAATAGTAACATAAACTTGACATAAAGTGTCATTCAATTTTTGTCATAAATTAAAACAAGTGAGGTGGAAGGGCTTCGGGTATAAGGATGAAGTAAAAAAAAAAATAGAATTCTCAAAGGGTAACTTAAGTAGTAATATGGAGAAGTTATAAATTCAGACATATTGAGGTCAAATTTTGACAACTCTTGAGGACTAAATCGTGAGGGATTTATAATATCCTAGTTCTGACGTATATGATTTGCTTTTAATCAGACTAAAAAATAAATTAATCAAAGTGCGCGTAAGTTGATTCAAATACCCCTAATTGTTAAGCCCAAAAAAAAAACCCTATGAATGCGATATTTCCCTTAATGGATTCATATTTAATATTTAAAGCAAGACTCAAAAATTTTGTTTCGCCAAAATATAAAGAAAGCTTCAAAATTTTGGTTCGAAAAACAATCGCCAAAACTAATGCGAATTTTTTTTTATTTCAACAATTAAGAATATCTAGGCCAACTTAACAGTAATTTATTCAAAATCAAATGAATTGACTTACAACTCAATTTAATGTGGTGTTGATTGAAACTAAAAGTTGTGATGATAATTTATTTTTTATCATTACATCATTTTTATAAATTTGTCAATAAGTGGAGGTGACTCACAAACAAATTTTTTTGCTGATAAGAACCAATTATTGGGTTTTCTGATTGAAAATAATATTGGTTTTGATATGCTTTGTACAACTAAATACCTGTCATTTACAATAATTTGTTGAATAAAGTTGTTAACTATGGCTGTGTTTGTTAATTGAAATTCAACATTTAAAATAAATATATTCGACATTTATTAATTAAACTCATTTGATAACTAAAAATTAAATATCTTAATATATTAAGCAGAAAAATCTCTTACTTATCTTTAATAATATTTATAATATGACAATTTTATTCTGAAATATTTTGTAATCCTATTAAAACTTTAATTAGTGTTCTCTCTAAAATCCATAATCTATATATCCTCCTCACCATCATTTTTTTTCTATTGTCTTTTTCAAGGATCGCAACACATACACATAAGTTACTTTTTTCCTTTTTTTCTTCATAAAAAATCACACATAAGAGCGCCCGCGCGCACACTACACACTACACACTACACACACACACACACACACACACACACACACACACACACGTTGCACACAAATCACATAATTTACAATTGTAATTTTTAAAATTTATGACAATTGACATCTTTAAGTGATTAATTTAACTTAAATTAGTTTTATTGTCATGTTTGTTAAATGAAGACTTTAATATGGTAATAGCGGTTATGATTTATGTTATGAATTAATCTGATTTGATATATCGTAATTTTTTATTAGATAAAAAAATATTTTATAAATATTTTCAAAATAAAGAGTGGAATGATAAAATTAAAAATTAATTTATTTTCAGACGTAACTTTGTGTAGTTATTAAACAGTTTTGTTTAATTCAGTATTTAAATTTCAGCAGATACCAAACAGTCCATAAATTCAAAATTCAAAATTCAAAATTTAACATTCAACTTTCAGTTTTTAGTTTTATTAAACATCACCTATGTCATTGTTTGACACAAAATTCTAATTTCGTCACTATGCATTCATATCGGGCTATTATCATACTCTTTAAAAAAACTTAATTGACCCCCTTTTATTTTTTAAAGAGTGTTTAGTTTTGTGCCAATTATTCTCTAGAATTCAATAGTTGGAGATCGTGACTTGAGTTGGTTTATAACATGTCTCTAAAGATACAAATGTGACTAACTTTTAAGGGGTATAAAAAAAAATTAAATAAAAAAATTAAATTTGATATTACTAAATTACCAAAAAAAACAGACTCAATCATTAAACCATCCCAAATTAGCAAGAGACGTTGCTTCCTTTCCAAAGTACCAAAAAAAGTGGTGAGCTTTTATTTCTTCTTGTGCGTATGATGCTTTGTGGTCCAAAGTCTTGGTTGGTTATCAAGAACACGTCCCAAAGTTGTAAGGGCACAAGGCGTTGGTTGCCCGTCACAATCAGGCTATGCTCACGAAATTAGGTACGTTCGTGGAGGCAAACCGACGGAAGAGGGGACCAAAATTGATTAAACGAGGGTGTCGATGAGAATGAAAAAAAAATATATTATAAGAATTTTTTCAAGTTTCTATAAAACAGAATGAATAACATTCAATATGCCCAATCCATTTTCGATCAAATCCAAGAACCGCCTTTGTATTCTTGGAACACACTCATCAAGTTCTATGTTGAAAACCACCCCTCCCAAGAAGCACTGATTCTTTTTCAAGAATTGCTTTCTGGGTCGGCTTTTGTGCCCGATGATTTCACTTTGCCTTGTGTGATTAAGTGTTGTTGGAAGTTGAGAGCTATTGAAAAAGGGAAACAGATGCATGGGATGGTTTTGAAAATTGGGTTTGGTTTGGATATGTATGTGCAGAGCAGTTTGGTTAGTATGTATGCAAAATGTAGTGATATTGACTCGGCTCTGAAAGTGTTTGACAAAATGGAAACTAAGGACGTAGTTTCGTGGAATTCTTTGTTGGATGGGTATGTGAAGTGTGGGGAAATCGGCATCGCATTGGATTTGTTCAATCAAATGCCCGAAAAAGATGCTTTTTCATGAACTGTTTTAATTGATGGGTTGTCGAAATGTGGGAAAGTTGAGGAGGCGAGGAAGATATTTGATAAAATGCCTAGTAAAAATTTAGCTTCTTGGAATGCTATGATTAATGGATATATGAGATGCGGGAGTTTTAGATCAGCTCGCCAATTGTTTGATCAGATGGAGGTGAGAGATATGGTCACATGGAATGTAATGATAGCGGGTATGAATTGAATGGGAAGTTTTCTGAACCTCTAGAATTGTTCAGGAAAATGTTAAATGCAGGTTTTACGCCTAATCATGCTACATTAGTTGGCACTCTTTCTGCAATTTCTGGGTTAGCCCTCCTGAGCAAGGGACGGTGTATGCATTCTTATTTGGCATAGAAAGGGTATAATTTGGATGGTGTGCTTGGCACATCACTGATAGAAATGTATTACAAATGTGGAAGCATAGAGAGTGCTTTACAGGTTTTTCGAGCAATACCCAATAAGAAATTAGGCCATTGGACTGCTATAATTGTGGGGTTAGGAATGCACGGACTGGCCAGACATGCTCTTGAGGTATTTCTTGAGATGCACAAAGTTGGATCGACTCCCGACGGTATAACCTTTGCTGGGGTGTTGAATGCTTGTAATCATGCAGGATTGGTTGATAATGGTCGTCAGTTTTTTGGCATGATGATAAATGAGTATGGTTTGGAACCCAATATTGAACATTATGGCTGCTCAGTGGACATTTTGTGTCGAGCTGGGCATCTAGAAGGGGCAAAGCACATAATACAGAACATGCCAATGGAATCAAATAGTCATTAGGATGAGTTTACTTAGTGGTGCCAGGAACCATCAAAATACCAAAATTGGTGAATATGCAATAGATGTTGCTCCAGAAACTATTCAATGCTGTGTGCTTCTCTCTAACATGTATGTTGCAGCAGGTCAGTGGGACAAAGTTTCACAGATTAGAGATGTGATGAAGAAGAAAGGAGTCAAAAAAGACCCGGGATGCAATTTAATAGAGCATAAAGGTATCATTCATGAGTTTATATTGGGAGATAATCACATCCCCAACCTGAAAGAATACACTCCAAGTTGAGTGAGATAATGCTTAGATTGAAATGTGCTGGACATGTTCCTGATACTACCCAAGTTCTTCTGCATATTGAAGGGGAGAAAGAGAAGGAAGCTGAACTCGAAAACCATAGTGAGAGGTTGGCTATTGCTTTTGGCCTCATAAATGTGGAATCAGGGAGTCCCATTTGCATTGTTAAGAATCTACGTGTTTGTAATGATTGTCACTCAATTGCAAAGCACCTCTCTAAAATCTATGACCGTGAAATTATCGTGAGAGATAATAGACGATTTCATCACTTCAGAGATGGGTCATGTTCTTGCATGGATTATTGGTAAGTGCTGGAATTGTTGGCTAGCAGCAAGGCTCTGCTCTGGTTTCCTGGTTCAGAACTTGTTCCATCAGTTCAAAGATTGACCCTCCAAAGCTAAGAGTTACTGGGATCAATTCTTACTCAGCTAATTCCAGGTATTATTCTTTAATATAAGGTTCAATACTTTACAAATACTATAAATCATGTCCATTCCTGTTAATGGGAAGAGCAGTTTTTAGAATTGCCAATTTTTTAATTTGGTCCAAATAGTGTGTTTTAAGCATATCACAGTAAGCAGCAATAACTAAAGATCTATTTGCTCATGCAAAGCGGAGGGACGGAAACGTTGGAAACTTTCAGTTACTTTGAATGTGGAACTGCTTTAATAACATCCAAATATTTCCTTCTCCATCCTTGCCTGCCAAATTGGTAATATATTGTTGTGTTTATGTTCTTTTTGTGCAGATACTAGTGATGGACTTGGTGTGCAGGAAAAATGATCAGGACTGTATGGACAAAGGAGTCGAAATCTGGTGATAACTTAGGTTCAAAATAAGCAGTTTCTCCTCATAATGTTACATCAATATTCATCAATTCCACAACCAGAGAAGTTCATTGACAGCAGGAAGATTTAGTAATGTTACAGCTGAATGAGGCATGGTACTTATACATCTCATTTTCCGGGGACAAAGTTGGTGGCATAAGCCCATGCATTGTTGGCCACCGGATCAGCAAGATGGTCATAGAGGTTCTCAATTGGACCCTTTCCGGTGACAATGGCCTGGACAAAGAATCCAAACATGGAAAACATGGCCAATCTTCCATTTTTGAGCTCTTTCACCTTCAATTCTGCAAATTGATCAGGATCATCAGCAAGGCCAAGTGGGTCAAAGGCACCTCCAGGGTAGATTTTATCAAGTCCTTCACCAAGTGGGCCTCCGCCAACCCGGTAACCTTCAACGAAGCCCATGAGCACAACTTGGGAGGCCCAGATGGCAAGGATGCTCTGGGCATGAATGAGGTTGGGGTTGCCAAGATAGTCAAGTCCACCTTCTGAGAAGATTTGAGCTCCAGCCTTGAACCACACAGCCTCACCAAATTTGACACCATTCCTTGCAAGGATTTCGGGGAAGACACAGCCCAAAGCACCAAGCATGGCCCATCTGCTGTGGATCACCTCCAGCTCCCGGTTCCTGGCGAAAGTCTCTGGATCAGCAGAAAGCCCAGCGGTGTCCCATCCATAGTCACCAGGGAATTCACCGGTCAGGTACGATGGAGTTTGCTCTGAGAATGGGCCCAAGTATTTTGGGCGGTCTGGCCCGTACCTTTTAGAATAATCACAGGTCGAATTTGTCAACAATATGAAACGGAAATCAGATTTATTGTTTAAATCAAACATAACATGTATTATATACCAAGAATAACTCGTGTCTGTCTGAAGGTACAATAAGTGAAGAATGATAAATTTTTTGAATGAGAAAAATTCAATGTAAATAATTTTAAGAGAAATGTTGATAGTCGTTGAATGAGTCTATCAGATAAATTTATTAAAATTTGTCTTAATAATATATATATAGGTTTAATGGTTAGAGTGTCCGGACTAGTTTACGCACACATGAATTAATTTTCTCTTCGATTCAATTGACTAAACTATTTGTGACAGATAAATTAGCACTAAAGGGTTACTAAATTTAGAACTCAGGTCATCAGTGTTTGTTAGTTATACTTTTCATCCCCTAGAATTGAAAGATAATTTTTTTTTTCTAACAGGATATCCAAATTTGTGTCTGACTATTTTCTCAAAGCAGGATACTAACTATTGTAATTCGAATAGATTTAGAACATGTCATGGAATAACGAGGGTATCCCAACCTTACAAAAACTATTGAACTCGAGACCTTTGAATTACTAAAGAATAGACTCAGTCGCGTACCCACCCTAAAAAATTGAAAGCCAATTTTGTAATAGCAGCCATAGCTATTGCCTATTGGGGCTAGTTATATATTTTTGTACAGTATCTTGTCTTTTTGTTCAATTACACCATAAAATGTGCAAAGCATTCCTAGTTTATTATTTACAATTAATCAACCGAAAATGATTTTTGATGTATAATACCGAAAATTAATTTTTCGAACCATCTTATCACAGTGAGAGTACTTATAAAATTATAGGTGATACTAATGAGATTTATAGCATTTTTACCAGATGCTTTGTGGAACACTTTTCACGGTGCGCCTCATGGTGGCGCGGCCACCACCAAAGCTGCCCACCTTCCTCACGAGCTCGTTCTGTGGCCTCAATGCCGTCTGGCCTGCAAATGCAGAGTGTTGGATGGCGGAGGTTGCCATGATATTGCAAAGCTTCTCTGAAGTCTGAAGTTTTTCTGTACTGTGGTATGGTGCGAAGTAGCAAGCTTATGAAAGTTATTGAAGGGGGAAGGAGAGGTTATATATGAAATTGAGAAGATTTGTGGATTAGGAAATCTACACATCAGCACCATCTGATTGGTTCATGTGTTAGATTGAGATTTCCCTTCTGATTTTGCTTCAGATGGATTGGAGGCTATTGTTGTGCCACGGGGCTGTGAAAAATCTCATTGGTTATTTGGGTTTTGTGGAATTGGTCTTGAGGTGACTGATAGGACAGCTGGGCTGGAATATCTAGAATAAATCTGAATTAAGATAATTGGGTGGACCCATTGATCCGACGGATATAGATGATTTGGTATATATTTTTTTGTGTGAATAGCATTAATCCCCTGAATTACATAGACGCCCCATCTTTGTCATCTACCCCGATGATCACGCCCTGCTGTTCGAACTTCATCATTCATTTCTATCTTTCTCAATAATAGTGGCTGAGAGGGTATGTTGGAGCTTTTAGGTTAGATATAACATATTGGTCTAAATTCCAATCCCAAGATTGATTGAAGGTCGGATAAAATTGTGTAGGATTTGTACATCCAATACAACTCAATTTCTTGTTTGCCTTTTTATTTTGGATTCATGAAGCTCGGATAAAATACTGCAAAGTATTAATTTTATCTTCTAAATTGGTTATAGAGAATAAATTTGTCATTAATGCAAGTCATCCTAAAGTTCTCATATCCCCCACTCCCCCCCCCCCC